ACCATGCTAGCATTCGGATGGTACCATATGAGGCTCTATACGGACAGAAGTGCAAATCTCCTATCGGCTGGTTCGAAGTTGGTGAGACAAATTTATTGGTTCCTGAGTTGGTTCAATAGGCTGTGGAAAAGGTGAAAATGATTCGAAGTCGATTATCGACCGCTAAAAGCAGGAAAAAATCCTACTCGAATAACCGACGACAAGACTTGGAGTTTGATGTGGGAGACTGGGAATTCTAGAAAGTGTCACCTATGAAGGGCGTGACGAGGTTTGGTAAGAAAGGAAAACTCAGCCCCCGTTATATTAGACTATATCAAATTATTCAGAGAATCGGTTAAGTGGTTTATAATCTTGAGTTGCCCCTGAAATTGGGAACAGTGCGTCCGGTATTCCATGTGTTCATGCTTCTTATGTGCTTGGGTGACCCCTCCCGTGTTACCCCTATTGAAGACATTCAAGTCACACAGGACCTATCTTACGAAGAAATTCCGGTAGCTATTCTAGATCGTCAAGTTCGTAAGATGCAGACCAAAGAGGTAGCTTAAGTTAAAGTCCTTTGGAGAAATAATAATATAGAAGAAATGACCTGGGAAGATGAAGAAGATATGAAATCCAGGTACCTCCATTTGTTCCATACAACATGAGATAACAATGAGACTACTATGGCAGGCACAACCCAAAATAACTAAAAACGTTTGCAGGGAGTGACTATGATTCAACATTCAAGGACGAATATTCCGAAGGGAGGGGGTGATGTCACATCCCACACGTTTCTCCACACAAAAAGTAAGAGATTGACAAGTTTTGTTTGTAGCACAACCAATCGGCTGACAACACGTATGGGGACAAAGGGGATTACACGTTTTCATAGACTCGTGTCAGTTGTCCCACCGGGTGCAGGGACCGGGGAAGGGGGTGACCCATTTTGCATGTGCAGGGTGCGGAATTTCCTAGATTAGGTATGGTATAAAAGGCAGTGCAACTCTCTTCTCTTTCATTCTAGGAGACATCACCCACTTTAGCTCACTCAAAATGCTCTCAAACCCCTTTTAGAATTTCCCAAACAATCTAAGGCTGAATCAGAGCGAACCCGTAGGATCTAGTGTGAAGAAGTTGAAATCGTCACTGTAATATCAATTATCTTGTTATATCAAATTTTGAAGATTCAATGGAGGCGGAGTCAATCACCATAGGAGCATAAGAATTCAGAAGGTATAACTAGTTCTTCAAAAATGTATGTAAGACAACCTTCTTTCTTGACATGATTTGGTGTGAGCAGTTCTCTTTCTCTCTCTCCAAAGGATTTCTGTGTTGTAAGACTGGCTTGTTCTAAACCCTTTCCAATAGCGTTGGTCCTGTTCTTTTACATTCTTACCGGTAGCTTTTCTTTTAAGTCTGAGGTGTTCCCAGATAAGTATCCCGAGGCCGAAAAGCACAGTTCTGAGTTTAGACTTAGCATCTCTTGAAAATGGGTTTTGCGCTGCACTTATATATATATATATATATATATATTACCGAGTCGTGCTATAGATGTTCAGGTACGTCACCTATTGAGCAACCACTGATCATTTAGGTATGATGAGGTGCAATGTAAAATACTACCGAGCCCTTGTTTGGCCGGGTATGACTGAGCTCTCAGTAAAGCCGAATACAAAATAATGTGCTATGAAATACTACTGAGCCCTCGTGAGGCCGGGTACGACCGAGATCTCCTGAGGCCGAGTACAATGTGATGAAAGAATAAAACTTCACGAGTCCTCTACGAGGCCAGGTACGATATGAAAGGATATACCCCAAAGAGTGGCGGGGTAATATTGTATTATATTACATTTAATGCATAATCTCCATGAATGGCTTAACCTTTTATAAAGCATGTATACTTTAAAGTTGTATGGCTTAACCTTGGCATTCAGGTTGAATCTCGTGTTTATATCTCTTATGTTATGTTCCGGATTTATATACTTTCGTAGTCTTGCATGCTCAGTACATTTTCCGTACTGACGCCCCTTTCTTTTGGGCGTTGTGCTCACGCCCATCTGTGCAGATAGACCCGGTGATATCCTTCCCCAGTAGGGTGTACGTTCCATCTGTCGATCGCCGCACTCCACTTCTCCAGAGTAGGTGTTTAGAAGTCAATAGGTACTGAAGTGTATGTTCTATTCATTTTGGATACGGTGGGCCCCTGTCCCGACCAAGTTATGTGTTATGATACTCTTAAAGGCTTGCAGATTAGTGTTCATGTGTATGTATATAACTCAGTAGATAATGGTGGTGTATACAAAATGTTAATGATCCTTCCATGGTCAATTGTGAAACTTTATTAATTCTGGCATTACACTTGGTGGCCTTATTGGTCCAGATTTCATGTTATATGGTCTAAGTATGGACGTCGGTTCGCACGGGCCTTCGGGCGTCGTGTGCTGGTCGCACCTCCCAAGATTGGAGTATGGCAAACTTGGGCAGAGCAGGTTTGTCCTAGAAAATTTGTATATCGTATCTAATAGAGTCATGTTTATGGGTATGTTGTGCACCATACTTATATACAGGACGCTAAGGATATCAAGTTCATAAAGAACAAGTTAACTGAGGCAACATAGAGAGCACTTGAGCGGAGATTCTCGGCATTGCTTTGGAAGTTGGAAACTTCTGTTTCTATATTGATGGTTAGCCTCTTTAATTACCCATTCGCTCTAGTTTCTCATTCTTTATCATCTTCTGCTGTAACAGTACTCTCATTTATTTTTTATGCCATGGCAAATCTAATATCTCTGTAATGGTTATTTTTCGCCATTGCACTCTGCCCTTCGTGTGTATGTCCTTGCCATGGGTATGCTAAACTCAGGGATGTCAATTGGAGCGGGACGGGGCGGGGCGGGGCAAGGCAAATACTTAATGGGGTAGGGCAAGGAAACAGTTAAATAGGACGGGGCAGGGCAAAACTTAATTTCTGAAATTTTTTATTAGAGCAGGGCAGGTGATAGGCCAACCCTTATTTCCAATAGTGAGCTGCTTGGTAACTGGGTAGCTTGAGGCCCAATCTGTTCATTGCTATGTCTCCTTTCTTTTATTTCATAAATAAATAAATATAAAGCCTTAAATACGTAAGACGCTATGTATGTAATATGTCAAAAGAAATAAAATGTGCAATAGGACATCAATTCAACTACTATGTGTAGTCTGAAAATATCTGTTCTCATTCGGTCACAGATGCTACTTTGTTTACTGAATGTTCTAGGTTAAATATACCTTTTATTCTCAAGAATTACGGTACACAATTTGGCAGAAGCTGAAAATGGAGAATTTCCTTTTGATCTATCCTAAAGAAATTGACCTTATAAATCAAAAGGATCGATTTCTCTGCCCAATACTAATAGAAACTAATGGAGTACTATTTTCTGTTATTTGTTATTCGTTTTGACATTTTACGAACTAATTGTTCAACTTTTTTCACTTTTCAACTATTATTTTAAACGCTTAAATATTTTATTATTTTAAATAAAATAACCAGGTAAAAATACTTGATGAAAATACCTTTAAAACCATTTACTTAGTTCCAGCTGCAAAGTTGGCTAAAATTTGGAATTTGCGAAAAGAAGTGTTCTCTAGTTCTGTTATTACTTTTGTGCTTTATATCTTTAATTTTAATAGCATATAATTTGACTAAGATCGAAATTATTTTAATTACCTCGCAACAGTTCCTTTCCAAATCTTTATTAGAATTCAAATATTACCAAGTTATATGAAGTAATCTATTTGAGCTAAAATCAAATAAAAATGCGTTTTGTCATAAAGTAACCCACGTGAACAAAACCAAAATGGCTCAACATTATAGAAGTAAAATTAGAAGAAGTTCAGAATCCAATAAATTAGAGAACTGCAAATATTAAAAGAGAAGTTGAAGATGACATTTAAAGGGATTAAATTAGAAGAAGCATTCAAATTTGGATAATTAAAATCAAGAATATGTAAGGCTAAATGGGGAAGGCAGGGCAGAGTTTGATCTAAATGGGGCAGTGAGTTAAACGGGACAGGGCAGAGCAAAACCTTAGTAGGGGAAGAGTTAACCCGCCCCACCCCGCCCCATTGGCATCCCTAGCTAAACTGAAAAAATGCCTTTGTATTTATCCAACTATAAATCCTAGAGACCAAGAGTTGCAAGTAGTTGGCGACGTAGCTGAAATGGTTATCCAGTTGGCGAATAATTTGTCATGTGCTCCCTATGTAAATGTAATTGCAAGAGGTTCATCGAAGATATGAGATGCAACACATGCTCTTCTTCAATCAAAATGTCCTCTATGTATTCTCCTTTTTTTTTATTGAATTGAGCATCAACATCTCCTATTTGGTGAGGGGAGATGAGAAGTTTATGCCACAAGGTTGGTGATAATTTGTTTTTCATGTTGGTGTTTCTGAATTTACATTTTGTGACCTAAGATATAGTTTCTACCAATTATATATTTTGATAAACTGGAAACTGCAAATATCTAATTGGCTCCCCCACCCATTAAAAACAAAAGGATGCTACTTACTCTTGGCAAGGATACCCCAACATGTTGCACTTTATATGTATAGAAACAACAGCAACCTTGCTGTGTACAGTGTGTTCAAAACAGGGATACTATATCAGGATGACAAAGATATGGTTGCAGCATTCTTCTGCTGATCCTTTGCTGTAAAGCTTTGTGCGGCATTTTGTAAAGCAGCAAATATTATTTTGTTCCCAAAACCGAGTTAGCACATTTAATATGAAAGCCAATTTGCATGGCTAGAATTGACACCAGTGGGAAGTTAACCAATGGTTATTTTGTTCCCAACACTGAGTTACCACATGTAACCTTATAACAACATTATTGACAGGCAAACCCATATTCTGATGGAAGCATTTGATTGAGGGTATTCTATACTGTATCTTCCATTCTTGATGCCCTTTCACTTAATTCATTCCTCTGGATTACAGTAACTCATTGTATACAGGATACAGATAAGTACAAATCCATGGGTAATAAGAACGTACATTTACCATTTAAGACTCCAGATGATCAACTTGCTCACAAGACGAAATCTGATTAAAATAATTTCTTTGAATACATAGTTCTTATTGTGGGTCTTATCAGAACAAAGAACAAGTAAGTGGACTGAAAATGCAGCAGTTCAACTGTACAAAGAATACCTGCTTCAGCTGTAACCTCTGGTATCAACTATAATATGGGAAGTACTGGTATCAATAATATTACTTCTTCACGGGCACAAGCTGTGCATAAAATGCTTCAAATGAACTGAACCAATCTATTGAACTTATAACTACTGCAAAAGTTGAACTGCGGCTATAGCTGGAATTTTCTCTCGCAGTTTCTGAGTTACAGCCACACGAACAGTAATTACACCTGCCGCAGGACCTGTGATTCGGACTTTAATTATTGGCTCCTCAATTTCTACTAGTTCTAAAGTTCCACCAGCTGCCCCAACAAGATATGGCCTTAAGTCTTCAAGAACCTAAAATGGATATTAAAGTAAAAGTAAAAACTGAGGTAAGAAACTTGAGGGGAGAAAGCAAAAAAAAAAAGAAAAAAAGATAAACGCAACAAATGACAGATTTAATGTATGTTAGCATATGGATGATTTGAGAGAAAGTAGCTGTAGAAAGAGTCAAATAAAATCCTAGGTCTTTTAATCTAGAAAGTCAGCATAGAGGTCTAAGATTATATAGTGTATGTATAAATGGAATCGAGGCATCTATCATTCACAGATCAGACTTAATGGAAATGGGCAATGATAGAGTTAGTATCTGTGCTGCCCCTTTTGATTCTTTGGAAAGGACTGTAAGTCTTATTCAGCGCAACACACGATAGATTCAATGTATGTTAGCATACTGATGATTTGAGAGAAAGTAGCTGTAGAAAGAGATCAAATAAAATCCTCGGTTTAATCTAGAAAGTCAGCATAGAAGTCTAAGATTATATAGTGTATTTATAGATGTAATCGAGACCTCTATCATTCACAGACCAGACTTAATGGAAATGGGCAATGATAGGTATCTGTGCTGCCCATTTTGATTCTTTGGACAGGGCTGTAAGTCTTATTCAGCAAAGGATGATAATAAATCTTCCTCAAGGGAAAGAGAAGATGTGGACAAACAACTTAAAGCAATTTTACTACCACCATTATGCTAATGTAGGACTCTGGACTCCAGAAGAAAGGTATGATGTCGCCGCTAGATTTGGCAATTACAGACTTCTTAAGTACAGACATTCCTAGTCTGGTGGTTGAATGAGAAGATTTAACCTTTGCCTATCAGATTGTGCACCAAGTTCACGTAACATCACTTTCCTGTATAAATTACTAAAAGCTTCAAGGGTTTTCTCATTTTTCTTTTTTCTGAAACCACGGCCTCGAGAGCAGGCTATTTAATCGTATATTGGCACCAGACTAAGGTTAACTTCATAAGGATTGGTTTAAGGAAAGATAATATAAACAGTTTTGAGACTTTTGTTCTTGTTACCAACAGTCGGGTAGCGACAAACTTGATGTACACGATGATAGAATGGGGATATGGTTAACTTCATAAGGATCCTTCAAAATACAAAAGAAAACCTAGTAGAAATGGAAGTACACTCATAAAGAACCTACAAACCATATATCAGATATCATTCATGGCTCATGTAATATAACTCTGTTTTCTCGAGCCCTAAGAATATTTGTAACTGGTTCCTGATTCAGCAATAACGTGCAATTTCAATGCATATGCCCAAACAAACTAAAAAAAACGTGCTGCATGGTCAAATAATGTAGAGGGGAAGGAGAGAATGCATAATGCCAAACAACATAAGTACCATTTCCATAACTTCATTACAACAACTTTCTGCCCTAACTAATGTAATAAAATTTCCCCAAAATCACAGATATGGTCACCTGTATTTTGGCAGTCTTTACGTTTCATTTTTCTTAGAAGTTTTCAAACATGATTTCACCCAGCTCTAGACCAATTCCTGCATATGATCTCATCACAATTTACAACTTCTCCGGGACTTTCATTTGGTTGCACAGATAAATTTGTGTTCTACTCTCTTTCCGTCCCTCAATGCCCCAAACTGTTCCTATGTTTGCTATATCTAATATTTAGGCAATCCTATGGAATAGTTCTAGAGCAAGAAATGCAAAATCTCTGAAGGGACCGAGGAGAGATTTTTAAAATGACTAACTTGTCCAATAATATATTTTTCTTTATCAGTAACTTCTCCAATAATACACTTGGAGATTATCAATTTCAGATTCATTGTCTTCAAGGCATTGTCTTCAGGTGAACCAAAGACAAATGGATAACCAAAATGAAACATTTACCATCTCAATGTTTTCTTCATTAAGCTCAAGGCCAGCTTCTTCATCTGGAACTGATTCAACCGCAACAATTTGTGGGATCTTTTCCATCAATCGGCGCTCAATTCCCATTTTCATGGTCACTACAGCACTTGGACAGGAGCCACATGCTCCTTGGAGTTTTAACTTCACAACATTTCCATCAATCTCATGCAATGCAACATTGCCTCCATCAGCAATGAGGTATGGTCGAACTTCATCCAATACACTCTCAATGTTCTCTGCTGTAAGTGGTAACTCTACTACTGGATATGGAGTCACTACAGCCTTAACAGCTGCAGCTGCACAACAGCCAAATAAGCAGAGTATTCCATATTCAGTGTAAATCTACCTCTACAAAGGGGAGAAATTCGAAAACACCAACCAACGGAACCAAGACACGGCTAAATTGCAACTAAAACCTGATTAGATATTTCAATTGAGTATCCAACCAGCAACATTCTTTTAACTCGTTGTTGCATATCAAATAAAGTCAAGAAACAATTAGCATAGTACTCAAATTACCAATCATCAGGCTGTTGGAAGAAATGTTTTTGATAACGGTGTTTGAATAGACTAGTTTAAGACTTTAAGGTGTTAAGTTGACCTAATGATAGTGGAGAAAAATATTCAAGTAATGATTGAAAATTAGTTTGCGATAGAACATGATTCAAAGTTAAAAGTTTGAATAGTTAAATGAATTTGAATACTTAAAAATTGTAAAAGCTGCACTCCCTTCCTTCCAAAACAATAATGGTTTGGAGTATGAGTGTCAAATAAAATATTTGCAAGATCATAGTAAAAAAGTAATTGACTCATCAAGTAGTAATAAGGCCAAATAAGTTGGAACATAGGGCTTATAAAATAGTACTACCTATTATTACTTGGATGGTCTAAAATGGAAAGAATGTCATATAAACAGAGATAGAGGCAGTATCTCCTTGAGAAAACTAATCGTCAAGGAACAAAGCGCACAAGGAAATGGGTTCATAGAATTTAATACAGAAAAATAAAAATGTGGAAAACGGAAAAAAAATAAAAAAGCACACCTAGGTGCTTTGAACCACCAGGTAAACGAAAACTAACCGCCTGCCGCAAGGAAAGTCGAGTTCCGAAGAACCCATAAATCTGCAAAAACATAGAACTGTTAGTATTTCAAAAGAAAAAACTTTTGGCAGTAGAACACCAAAATACAAGAAGCGAAGCCGTACTTTGAGAGGAGGATGAAACGGGAAGAGCGTTGAAGCAGAATATGATGGAGAGCAGGAGGAGGATTCTAGGGTTTGTGAGAAAGGAGGAGGAGTTAAAGGATTCGATAGCATGGTTGTTTTTTTTTTTTCTCGCTTTCCTCTTATTGTTTTGTTGATTTGTTAGTCCAGTACTCATTATCACAATACTCGACCCAAAAAAATCAGGGAAGTGCACAGTTATCCGCTATTAGAATTATACTCTTAAACTACTGTTTAAAATATATTTAATATTTAATAAGTATTTTAATAAACTTTTACTCGTCTGGATGAAAATACCCTTGTGCTAGCCATGCTATCCTTAACTTCATGAGTATTGTGTAAATATTAAAGTCCTGAATTAGCATCTTTTGTTTTAAACATTTTGTCCTTAACTTCATATGTGTAGTGTAAATGTTAGGGATATGGTATCCTTAACTTCATGAGTGTTGTGTAAATATTATAGACATGGTGTCCTTAACTTCATTAGTGTTGTGTAAATATCAAGGATAAAGTGTCATGTATTTGCACCTTATGTTGTTAAACTTTAGGACATCATTTTCTTAACTTCATATGTATAGTGTAAGTATTAAGGACATGGTGTCCTTAACTTCATGTGCGCAGTGTAAATGTTAACAGAGTGTCATTAACTTTATGAGTGTTGTGTAAATATTAAGGACAAATTGTCCTATATTTGCACCTTTCATTGTTAAACTTTAGGACATCATGTCCTTAACTTCACGAGTGCTTTTTGTCCTTAATATTTACACATCACTCATGAAGTTAAAGACATTATATCCTTAATATTTACACAGCACTCATGAAGAAAGGGTAAAACCATCTTTTCGTATTAATTTTAATAGAGTAGTGGCTATTTTTGCTTAGTATAAAAAAATACTAGATAAAAATTAAATACCACATTAAAAAATAACTACCCCACGCCATTTCTACCAAATAATGCCTAGGGAAAATGAAAATATATACTCATATTTTTTCGATATTTAGGGTTGTTTGGTACGAAAACAAAGAAAATATTTTTCATGAAAAATGAGTGGTTTTATCCCTTATTTTTCCTTGTTTGGTTCGTGAGTGAAAAACTTTTTTTCGAAAAATATTTTATAGTGTTTGGTTAGAGAGTAGAAAATATTTTTTTTAAGTTAACTCTCCCCAACCCCTTCCCCCAAGTCCCCATGTTTCCTTGCTTTCCCCCTAAATACTCAACGTTTTCAAGACTCTATTTTCTTCAACAATTTAATTATTCTTTCAAAAATTCAGACAAACCCAAAGGAACTAATGTGCTGCTTTACTTTTTTTTTTACGCAAAACAACGTTGAAATTTATGATCCATAACTATAAAGAAAATATTCTTTTTTTGGTTGAAAAAGAAATTACTATTTCTACAACATGAAAATAAAGCAATCATTTTATTGAAATAAAGGAAAATACTTTTTCTACATCACGAAAAGAAAATACTCATTTTGTTGAAATGAAAGATAATATTTTTTTTTTTACATCATGAAAAGAAAGTACTTTTTTGTTAAAATAAAAATAATACTTTTTTATATCATGAAAAGAAAATACTTATTTGTTGAAATGAAAACAAAATCTATCTATAACATAAAAAGAAAGTACTATTAATAATATTTTTATTTAGGATGGGGGTGGGAGCGGCGAGGATAGGGGTAGGGTGNCTTGATAGGGAAAACATTTTCCTCCAATTGGAGAAAAATGAGTTCATGAAGAAAATATTTTCTAAAATGTTTAAGCTAACCAAACATGAAAAAATTAAAAAATATTTTTCGGAAAATGTTTTCCTTCGTACCAAATACACCCTTAATGTCTTTACAACACCATTGCAAAAAAGGAGGTTTTAGGACTCCAATAACTTTTTTAGAATTCTTATGCGTAAAAAGACATATCTTTTATATATAAAAGCAATTTTTTTATGTATAAAAAAAGAAATAGCGTTATAAAACTAAAAACAAATTTGTAATGGGCCACAAAAAAAGAAGTAATACTCCATTTATTTCAATGTAAATGACACACTTTCCTTATTAGTTAAAAAAATAATATATTTTTATATTTGGAAATAATCTAACTTTAAACTTTTTATTTTACCTACTTTACCCTTAATGAAAAGTTTTTATAGCCACACAAATATCATGACCGCATAATGCTTTGCCCTTAAACTTTTAGGACTATATATTTCAAAAGTCTTTTTTTTTCCTTAAATTTTGTGTCAAGTCAAACTACATTATCTAAATTAAAATGGAAGGAGTATCAATTTTAAGGGGTATAAGAGTGCAAAAAGGTTTAATATTACTTTTCATTATACTTTCCTTATAAAAATACCCTTGATATTACATAAGTGGCTCAAATTCACCCTGCTCTGTGGCACTGCATTTTGGTAAAATGAACATTACATGACATGCCACCTCACCAGCTGCAATCCATTTTAACCCTCCTCTCAATCACTTTCTTCTACCACTAGCACGCTCCCTGTCCACTACTACTTCCATTGTGACCGCATCATTTTCACAATCTCAATCTTCACTTTCTTCGACGATTTCTCAATAATACCATTTTGCACCTTTCTTTAATATCTTTTCCCGATTGTATCAATAAGATTAGTGTGGCTTTACCTTTTTCTCCATTTTTTTTTGTAATATTCCAGGGACGTCCCCATTCGTACGAATACTCTGAATTTTCAATTTTTTAACTTTCGTTAAATAGTTCTGAAACTTTCTAGAAACATCCAAATGCGAATCCGGACATACGCTCAAGTTCAAAATCACCATAAGGACCTATAGGAATAATCAAAATTCCAATCTGAGGTCAAATACACAAAAGTCAAACTTGGTCAATTCTTCCAATTTAAAGCTTCGTAATTGAGAATTATTCTTCCAAATCCATCCCCGAGGCACCTGAAAATTAAAATCGACGATACACGCGAGTCATAATACACCATATGAAGCTACTCGTGACCTCAAGCTACCGAACTGAATGCAGTTGCTCTAAACAATCAGTCGGATCGTTACACAGGGTTACCCACAATTACAAAAAAAGGGGATAGAATTGTGGATAGAACTCCTCTCCATTTACCCAAAGTTCTTACTTGAATGAGAGATACTTAGTCATAGTTTAAAACTAATGGTTTAGATTTAATTAGTTAAACTAAGGTTCTCCGGTCGTTAGCTGGAAATCATTTATCATCTTCACATCAGGGGCGGCTCAACACTTTTTGTGGCCTAAAGCAAAATTTTGATGAGAGGCCTTAATTTTTGTTAAAAGAATTTATATATTTTTATTTGAAGTTTATTTTCCTAACTTTTTAGATGTAAAATTATTAATAATTTCCTTATAATCGAGTTATTTTAATAATTCTTTTACAAATGATATTATTGCTAATCTGATCCATTTAGCTTTTCGTGAGACATTGTTGATCCTAACCCTATATAATTTGAAAGTATATGATTAGCTTTTCGATTTTGGTTTTATATTATCTAAGATAATATAAAAAGTATATGATTAGAGTCTTATCTTCTGCTTGTAATATTTCCTTTAACCCTATATAATTTGAAAAATAAGTCTAAACTATCATGTCAAAGTGACTATTATGCTTTAATCGAGTCTAAGTTAATATTATCTTAGATTTTTATCATCTAGTGATTTCAATTGTTACCCACTAAATAAAAAATTAAACATATTTTTATAAGCTTTGGTTTATTCAAATCTCAACGATCAACATCATTAACAAATTAAAATTTTAATTTTTTTTTTTTTTTTTTGCATTAAAAATTATACTTTTTAACTTTAAAATAATCAATTTTTAATATAAAAAATTAATTAATAAAATTACAACTAATGAAAAATGCACTACGTGGGGTGCCTTACCCTTCAGCCGGCGTTGCTTCACATACAAGCTTTTTATGGGAGTATAATATGCATAAACAAATGAGAGAAATGAGTAAGCACTAAGAACCCGGTCACACCGACAACTTGCTCATTTAATTTAGATAATGATGCGGCTTCTTCTTAGATGGAAACTCATTGATCATCTTCATATACAAGTCTTTTTAATTTGAAGTCCTATGAAACTTGTGGTATTTCCTTAAAATGTGTTACAGATAATGGCTTGCACAAAATGCTTACAGCATTGGATTAATTATTTTAGAAGTTCTTCTTACCAATAAATAAATTATTCCGGAATTTGCATCGTTATTTTCTTGTTTTCATATATCTTCCTTATAAGTTGCAAAAGCCATTATGAGAGCATGCATGTTAACTTATTTGTTAATTGATTAAATGGAGCAAATAACAAGAGGGAGGATTAAGGCCACGATCAAGAAGAATGTGGTCTTACATATTGTTTTCAAATTATGCCCTACTATTTTATATTCCATACAAGTAAACACACAAAGAAATCTTACTTTTTCTTTTTCTTTAGCTATCTGGTGTTCGTAATTTACCGGCTGAACTAGTTCAAATTTGCACGGGTTGAGTCCACTACGGAATCGTTTGGTATGGTGTATAAAAATAGTGCGGAATAAGGTGTATTAATAATGTATGAATTAGTAATTTATGAGTTAGTAATGCAAACATTAGTTATGCAAATATTATTTTTTATCTACTGTTTGGTGTGATGTATTAAAATTATAATGCATTGTACAATTTTTAAGAAAAATAGTTATTTACAAAAGTGCCCTCCATATTCTCAAGATTTAAGGGACTTTAAGGATAATTTTATCTTTAACCAACCTAATGCATGCATTAGTAGTCTTGATATTACTAATGCCATGATTATCTATGCATTACTTATACATAGGATAATCAAGTATGATATATAATTATTACAAGTATTAATTATACACATTAAAAAATATAACAAATAAAGTATTAGTAATGCATAGAGTTAATATTTATATTATTTTTTCTAATACCTCCTGCCAAACCATCTCAAATGAGATGACGCGTTCTTTATAAAAAAAATCTCTATTTTCAATGCTCGAACTTCAGACCTCCAGTAATAAACCAACACAGATGGTGACACACACAATTATCGATGTACTTATTGTATTTTCATGTAGTATCTTGTACGTGAAAGACGTATTTCGTGAGTGTTGTTTCGTGTTTTTATTAACGATCCCTCTGTTACACAGCAGAAATTG